TTGGAGACGTGAAAGCCATCGTCCTCGTGACTGACTCCTCTGTCTCTATAACTTTCCAAGAGTTGAAATCACAAAACTTAGCACAGAGAAGAAGGAGATTGAAAATTTGAAGAAGCCATGGATGTCTCAGGGAGCTTGAATTGCGTTGTAGTGGCGGTAGATGGAAGCGAAGTGAGCATGGAAGCTCTGAATTGGGCTCTGGACAACCTCAAGCTCTCATCGTCTTCTTCCGATTCATCATTCGTCGTCCTCCATATCCAGCCATCACCTTCAGTCGCCGCCGGAGTTAGCCCCGGAACCATCCCTTTCGGTGGTCCCAGTTGAGTCTCGTTACTTCTAATTTTGTGAGTGTATATGAATGATGATCGTATGGTGTTTGTTGAATTGACTCTGTAAAAAAAATTGCGATGAAGGTGGTCTTGAGGTTCCTGCTTTCACAGCTGCAATCGAGCAACATCAGAAGCGAATCACCGATACCATCATCGATCACGCTCGTCAAATTTGTGCTGATAAATCTGTGAGTCGTTTGTTCATTTCCACTCTGAAAATGGGTATATTTGCCTCATAATCCAGATCCAGTAGCGAGTTTCTTAAAGCTTGATTGGTTAGAATCTAGTTTCTTTTCACTGAGGGATTAGAATCTAGAGCAATTACTTATGTGTGATCTATATAGGAGTATTGATTTGAGGATGTTGTGATGATTTACTCTCAGGTGGAAGTGAAAATACAAGTGGTTGTTGGGGATCCCAAGTATAAAATCTGCGAGGCTGCTGAGAATTTGCATGCTGATCTTCTTGTCATGGGTTCCCGAGCTTATGGCCGCATTAAGAGGTACCAATCTTCTCTACTTGTATCTTGCTATGTTGATAAACCAACGAAAGCTGCAGGCTTTTGATCTTGGTTAAGATACTGACTTCTGATTGTTGATTCTCACACTAAGTAACATCTTTGCCTATCCTTGTATGAACTAGAATCTGCGTCTACTTTAGAAATAGAAGAGCTTTTTGGCCCAATAGCTAGAACAAGATTGGTCTATAAGATAGGCTTGAAAAAATCCGGCTAAAGTAGACGTAGTTTAAGTTTCTTCAGTTGCCATTGGCTATTTGTTTGGAGGGATTAAGTTCTCTTGGAACATTACAAGACAAATAGCCAGTTAGGCTGTATTTTAGATGGAACATTTCTCTGCTCATCCAGCAAATACTGCTTCGAGCAATCTTTTTACCGCTTAAGATGTATATACCATGTTGCTGTGTGTCTTCGATGAGTTAATTTCCTCCTATTTAGTGAGCAAATACCAGTGTTGAATCCAGTTTTATTTCCTACAACAGGATGTTTTTAGGAAGTGTAAGCAACTACTGCACCAACCACGCTCACTGTCCTGTTGTCATAATTAAACCCAAAGAAGATTCTTCAGCATAACAGGTAAAGTTGCAAATCATGTCAGACACTTCATTCGATTGTTCACCCTTTAAAAGTTTGGTAACGGTCATCATTCGTAACCCACGTATTGATTTTAAGGGGCTTGTCAATAGTTTGCCTTTAGAACTATATCCAGATCTTGTCAATGTCAAAATTTGTCTATAGCCTATTTCTCTCGTTTGGTATGTGTGTTTCATATCATTTTCGTTTCTCAGGAGAATATGTACGTATGCAAAGGGAAATCAATACCATCTTTTCAATTTTGTGAAGCTATGGAAGCAGAGCAAGAATCCACCTGCTCACTTCTCATTTCTCAAAGCCTTGGTGTGAATGTAAAATTAATAAGAGCTACAGAAACATTAACTGGCTCAGTCTCAGGCTCAATTATATGTGTTGTATTCACATTTATCGTTTTATTTCATTTATGGTGAGGATTGAATAAAGAGTTGTTGCGTCAATTCACTATGAAGAACATTTACAGATCCACAAGTAACACTGATTGTCAATGTAAGCTAGCTCGCACTACTTGATATGTTAATTTGGACCACAAGCATATCGGCACCCAGCCCGACTTGGCTTTGTGGGTTGTGGCATTGGCTGATCTAATAAAAATCATGAAAAATGTATGAGAGAAATAAAGAATACATGTACCAAAAAAAAATTGAAAATTCAAGGATTCCTTTTTGATGTTTATGTACATACATTTTTGAGGATACAAAAATATTTAGAAAGGCTCGTGAACGAACAATGAGAGGATAGGACGAAAGAGGAATCGTCGGTTTGTCACTGCAACACGATAAGGGAGGCTCACGGACTTGCATAATTGAATATTAGTGTTCAATTAGTTTGAAGACGACACTTGAAAACTGCCATTGGTCAAATTCCTTATGGGATTGTAGATTTTCATAATAGACCAATGTGAATCATTAGCTACAAGACATATACTCATACAGTATCGATAGATAGGTAACATGCAAGTTCACTCGTGAGAAAACTAGAGAAAAAGAACAAAATAACAGTCTGTTGGAGAGTTTGGCCTGTTTTGGCAGCAAAATCATTGGTTCGTTTCGGTTTAGATTTTTTATCACCATCCAAAAACACACTTCGATTCACATGCAACAATGCCTTTTGGTCCCTGACCGACTCCCCCCACACACTCCATGTGTCCTCGTGACTTTTATCTTCTTTCGATCTTTTTTAAGTTAAAACTCACAACAGCATTTTAGC